GTTTTAGCTATTCTGTTTTTTGCTGTTGTTGTTTTTCCACATGAAATTGAGTGATGTTCTTTCAAGATCTGTGAAGAATTGTGAAGGGATCTTGATGGGGGATTGCACTGAGTCTGTAGATTGCTTTTGGTAACATTGCCATTTTTATTTAGAGACTTAAAGTTCTTGTCATACAGGTCTTTCCCTTGTTTTTATAGAGGAAACATTTTAATTGAGGCAGCTTGCTTACAGTTTCAGAAGTTCAGTCCATTATCATTATGAAAGGGAGCATGACAGCAAGCAGGCAGTCATGGTAATGGAGCCGAGAGTGCTACATGCTATGGGCAACAGGAAGTCAACTGACTGTCATACTGAGGGAAGCTTGGTAAAAAGAGACCTCAAAGCCCACCTGCACAATGACACACTATCTCCAACAAGGTCTAGACAGTATAATTTCAGTTTCTGTTCTTAGCCCTCCAGCTGACACAGAGCAGAGCAAGCCTTGATTATTCTCATAGTAGTTCTGCTGTTTCAGTCCATAATTGCTTGGTTCCAGGTTTCCGGGCTACAGTGAGGCAAACATCGTGGTGGGAAAGCATGGTGATGCACAGGTGTGTAGACTACTATGCGCAGAATATTTAAAACTACATTTAAACACTACGCAAGCATTAGTGGCTACTGATGCATTTTTGAATGCTTTTATTGTTTTTAAACTTTTTATTGCATATATTAATTGTATACATGAAGAGATTTCTTGGTGGCATCTCCATATGTACATATAATATACTTTCATTATATTAATCTACCACTCATTCTTAACCCTCCTTGTAATTCCCAGGTCTTTCCCTTTTAGTTTCATATCTTTTTATCTCCTAGAGATAAAAGAAAGCATGGTGTTTTCATTCTCCTGTGGTGTGTGTGGATTATTTTACATAATATGATGATCTCTTGTTCTGTTTTTTTCTTCAAATGACATAATTGCATTCTTTGTTAGAACTAAACAAAACTTGTGTATCTATACATTTTATTCATCTGCTGAAATGCATCTTGGTGAATTCTATAATTTAGCTATTGTGAATAGCACCATATTATATTTTAAATGGAAAAAGTTAAAGCAGCAGAGCATCGTATGCTTTTCATAATAGACTAAGAAAGGCTTTTTATTACTATAGAAAGAAAGGGATGGGGCTGGAGAGATGGCTCAGAGGTTAAGAGCACTGGCTGCTCTTCCAGAGGTCCTGAGTTCAATTCCCAGCAACCATATGGTGGCTCACAACCATCTGTAATGAGATCTGGTACCCTCTTCTGGCGTGCAGGCAGAACATTGTATACATATTATTAATAAATAAATAAAATCTTTAAAAAAAAGAAAGAAAGGGATGGTAAAAATGAAAGATAAATTAAGGAAAAGAGTTAGAAGAGGTACAAAAAGGTAGAAAAACACATAGTAATAAATTTTGTGCCTCATTATTCAAGATTATTTTGAGTCAGTTTTAAGAAGAGTAGGTATTGAAAAACTCTCAGTATATGATAGGGAGTGTATGTCAGTTATACAGTACTTACCTAGCATATGAAATCCCAGTTCTGAAAAAAAATATAATTCTGAACATGAAAAAGTGTGTAGGTGAGAGATAGAAAACAAATTTAGCAGTGGGTCAAGAGCTAGGGACAATAGGTATAATTAGATCTGCACTTATGAAAACCAAAACAACTTATTTGCAAATTGGAACATTTGAACAGCTATTGACTTTATAATAAAATAGCTTAATAACAATGAAAGCGTGCTTTGAATTCTTTTCACACATGTTCAAGTGTGCAGGTACACCTGCACATGGGAGTCAGGGGATGCCATCAAGTGTCATTCTCAAGAACACCACCCACTTCCTTTCAAACAGCCTCACATTGGCCTGGAGTTCATTTTAAGATAGATCAGCTGGCCAGTTTCTCCACTGATGGGATTGATGGGATTACAAGTATACAACACCAAGACCAGTGTTTTTTTTTTATGTGAGTTCTAGGAGTCAAACTTAGGTCTTCATACTTGTGAGGTAAGCACTTTGACTAAATGAACTATCTCTCAGGCCCTGGCATTTGTTTTGCACAAAAGTTACTAGAGTAGAAAATGTCTCCACTCTAAGATGTACACCTACAGTGATATACCATACATAGTGAAAAGTAGACCACAACTAGAAAAGAAAAAAGAAGAGTAATGGCAAGCTTTCTGACTTTCTACAAGGTTATAGCAAGTACAAACTAGATACTTTGGTTTTCACCTTCCTGTTTTCTCAAGGCACTAAAAAACTCATTCTATGTGGATTGGTCTCAAAGTTTATTTCAATTTATTCAAGTCAATGATTAAATCATACATATGAACACAGAGAAGACTATGTATGAAATATAAACTATGATTTGGATACTTTAGTTCATTAACACCAATTGTTCATTTTTTTCTCTACTACAAATTCCTAAGATGCTTTACGATCTCTTTAACTTTTTCCCCAGCTTTTACTCATTCCATCTCAACTTGCTAGTAATTTTTTTGAGAAATGACAACTCATGAAACACTTGGAAAACTGATAAAGGATGTAATAGTATTACATCCAAATTGCATAGGTACCTACTTACTAAATAAAGATAGTATCATAGAGTTACACAAAAAAAAGAACAAGGACTATCAATCTTGCCAGGCGCCTGGGGCACAATGAACACAGTCAAGGTGCAATGTGACAATTGAGTTCTGTCAAGTACCTATTGTCAACAATGTAACAACTTAAGCTGCCTACCACACAATAAATTGGAGACCAGGCTGGCCAAAAGAAAAACTGAAATTAAAGGACAGGAAATGTATTTAAATACTCCAAATATAAAATCATGCATAGAACACAAGTAACTACATACAGGAGAAAACATAGTCAATCTAGTTTTTACAGGAACTATTTTGATTGCTTACAGTATTTGTTTCTTGAATCTGCTACCTTCATTTTGTTAGGTCAGTGTTTTGATTAATTTTAGCTGTCTTACTCCTATTAGAAGTCACATTATACAAATACAGAGGCAGAAATAGATCAGATCTAAATCATAATGGCCAGTAGATTCTGATGATATGCTTCAGGAGTCTCTCCTTAGTGGTTTTACTAGTTACTCCTTTCTCCTCAAGATTGATTATCTTGTCTACGACTCGACCTAATTTACATCAGATTCTAGAAATGAGCCTTCCTAGCAACAAAGGAAAATTAGTATGTAATTAGTAGTGGCCGCTCCATTGCTAAAAGTTCAACAGGGGAACTATGAACGAGTTTCTGGAGTCACAGGGAACCCTGAACCTTCTGTAAAGCCAATTATCTGGTTAAAGCCCTTCAGTGTTTGTGGAGAGGCTAGAATGTTACAGCTCCAGAGTCCAATAACCATTCATTTTAGGCCATCTTTAGCCCACTTCACAGTCATTTGTTACCTCTCCGGGTGATCTAACAATTTTTGTGATTACATAAATCTTTGGAGAAACTGATCGCTTCCACCAACCAAAATGTTAATGCTGTCAGATAGCATCTGAGATCTACAGCTAAGACTTCCCTGTCTTGTTTCAACCTGCTTACCTCAAGTTCCCACCAATGTATTTGGAAAATATCTTGATTTATTACTTTTGCTGTTGTTGTTATTATAGCACCCTCATAAAACTGCAGCCATATTGGAATAAAAAACTGGGGTAACCCAAACCCCATTCATATTTGCCTTTAGAGTAAACTATCTCTTAGTCCCTTCTGAAAAAATATTGTATTCTAACTGGCCATCATTCGGTTCCAGGGCTTTGCAGCACTATCTCCATCCCATCTGAAGTATGTGGTTTTACTTCTTGGATCCTTATTCATGACAATTGCAGACACCTAGGAATGTGAGAGTGCCATCCAAACATTGACTCCCAACTAATCTTAAAATGCTCCCCAAAGCTCATTTGTTTTAGTCACCGTAATACTGATGGCCTCTAGATACCCATCTTTATTTTCAGCCTTTTCCTTCCCTTTTTAAAACAAAACCAACCAACCAACCAACCAGACAAAATCCAGAGTTTCAAATATCCCTCAGCTTTACATAGCTGAAGGTGCCCTTGAACTCTTTCTTCATCCTCCTGTATCCATTTTCCAAAATATTGGGATTACAGGTGAGCAACTTCAAGACTGGCTTACACCATCCCCAACCCCCATTTTTTTATTTTTTGGTTTTTCCAGACAGGGTTTCTCTGTGTAGCTTTGGAGCCTGTCCTGGAACTAGCTCTTGTAGACCAGGCTGGTCTTGAACTCATAGAGAACCGCCTGCCTCTGCCTCCCAAGTGCTGGGATTAAAGGAGTGCACCACCACCACCTGCTACACTTCCCTTTCTTAAGTGAGTTACTAGAAGAAAAACAAACAAACAAACAAACTTTACAGTTGTAAATCAACAACCCCTCCCTCCACACACACTCTGGACCCCTTCAAGAAATACACCTTACAAGAATGCAAAGCTTTTGTCCCGTCAGTTTGTGTAGGTTAGATCCCTTGGTAATCACAAATGCTGTTGGACTAACCACCTCTACACTGACCAATAGGTTGTGCTTTTCCAGTTCTCTGATGATGGAGCGGGGTCTGTTCTCTTAAAACATCCAAATTGCATCTGCTCAACTAGGAACAGCCATCCCCTACTACTAAGTAACAGATTAAAATGTTTCAACCGCTTAAACACATTTTTTTGTTATCATCTACCTAATACTTAGTCGGAGTCCATTCTCTGTGATACAATGATTGCAATAGCGGAGTAAAAGGGCCTCTCCTTTAGGTTGTCTTCCAAAGTACTTTTTTACAGCCTGTGCCATTAAAAAAAAAAAAAAAAAAAAAAAAAAAAGGTCTGTACAGATTTCTTTAGCTTGGTGTCTTTACAGAGCACATGCCATAGTCATGTCACAAGTATCTGCTGAATATTTAACTTTTGATAGACGACATAACACTGACCACGGGAACTGCTAATCTTAAAAAGGTTCGGTGTCCTTTACCTTGGTCAGTAGTCACAGGATGGGAAGGATTTCGGTGGTCTCCCTTCCCTAGCCTGAAGCCTACACCAAGGAAATGTCAACCACAGAAAAAGGCAAGCCTCTCCTCCAGAACAGGGGAGTCTGATGGGAAGGGGTGGGACTTCCGGGGCGGCGGGAATTCCTAAGGGCGTCCCAGGGGCTAGCGAAGGACCCGAGTGTGAGCGGGCACCGGGCACCAGGAGCGGAAGCAGGTCAGCAGGCAAGAGCCCCGGAAGCCGCTGTGCGAGCGGAAGAGGGTCGCGCGCCGCGGAAGGCGAGGCACCAAGAGCGGAAGAGGGTCTTAGGGAAGCGGAAGGGGAAGTCAGCGCCAGGGGCTGCAGGTAGGGCTGTATGCCTAGAAAGCTGAGCGGCTCTCAGAACGCGCCCACCAGCCAGTCCCCGGAGAACCCCGGAACCTGGTGTGGCGTGATCCGGGAGGAGCGCCTTTTCCGGCGAATCCGGGGCGGAGGAGCACGCGGTTGCGCACTGAGCGGCCGCGCAGGCGCACTGCCCTCTGCCGGCTCGTGAAGGCAGTGCAGGCGCCGCTCACGTCGGTCTCGAGAGGTTCTGTAGGTCTCTGGGAAGATTCCCGGCGAGTTGCAGAGATCCTGGGAAAACAGCGGCATTAGCAATTCCAAAGGATGAGGACACTGGAGTTTCCAGCTTTCTAAGTTGATTTCTGAGGGCTTTGGAATCCCGGTGAGAACTTAGGTGATGTTCCGTTGGATATCTATAATGTCTACTTGTGAACTTAATTATCTTGCTTATTTTAAACATTGCCTACATATTTGTTTAGTGACGCCCTTTTTTTTTTAACAACAAAAGAGGAGCAATCCAACTTTGGTGGGTGGTACTAAAGGTATCTAACCCCTCCCCACTTTTGTGCAAATCCCTGAGGAGTTATTACCTAGACTTTGTGAAGGACGTAAAAGTCAGTACTTCTTATTCCTAACTTCCACATTCGATTCTATAACGTGTTACCTCTGTTGTTCTGGGTGCTACAGATTTAGAGATAGGAACAGGTTTAATCGAAGACTTGGTGTGAAGAAATACCATTCTCCTGGGGGCACTGACGGGATTGTGAAATCTCAGGGGTGGAGGAAGAAGGGGCATGACAACAAAACGGGTTGGTTTTGTTTTGATTTTGGACACCTTATTGGTCTATGAGTTGACAGCCGATTAGGTAAGGGTCAGCTGGGGCGCACAGAGCAGTGATCTTCATTCCAGAAAGGCGAAGCAGCTGGTGGAGAGACAAAGTTGCAGCAGGGTGAGAGTAAGATAAACGAACCAGATAGATGGTGAATTAGCTGTGCTCAGGTCCTTAGGGCCTACGAATTTTGTTTTAAGAAAATGATTGGAAATTACTGTTTGCCAGGAACTATTCTTAGCATCCCAGATGCCCTCTTGGCAACTAAATTTAGTAGGACAATTTGTCAAAAAGAAGTAGTTTGATGCTACCGCAGGTATTGGTGTTAAAGAATGGGTTTTATGCAGACCAGAGAGTTAGAGAAGATGGCTTGGAATTACTGTCTGAAACACAAAGACTGTAATATCATATGTGCTAAAATTTGGGATGACAGAAAACAAGGTTTGAGGAAATGAAAGTTGCTTTCTTGGCTCTGTGTGGGAGGAGAGGTGTGTGTGTGGGGCATGTACTTGAACTTCAGAGTTAAGGAGTATAACATTGAAAACCCGAGAAACAGGATATGTATTTCAGGCTAAAGTACCTTCTGATTTTTTCATTGTTTACTTCCTTCCTTGCATGCTGATTGTTGTAAATGTGGAGTTATGTTAATTTTCTGGCACTAGTTAATGATTCCAGTGTGGTATTAAATAGAAAAGGACTTTTAATGGAAAAACTAACATAAGAATTGGAGAGGAAAACCCTCATCCCAGATGGACAGCAAGGGATCCTTTTCCAGTTTACCAGTGGTTTGACAGGGAGCTTTCTCAGCTGGAAAGATCTGTTCCTGATAGGATAGCAAAGTAGCCCACATGACACAGTTTGGGGAAAAAAATGTTTATTGCACTGAAGAAAGTTTTATAAAATTGTAACTGCCCTAGAACCTTTTCATTGCCTTGTGTTCCCAGGAGTAAAGCAAATAAAGGTTGTTATGTGCATCTAGTGTGCCAGCACCTGAATGTTGAGCTCTTTTTAAATTGTATTTTCAGATATTACACTAATTCACTAATGTCTGGCATCTTGCCATTTTAGCAGCACAGCCATCATGTATCTTTAAAAGTGATTTGTTTTTAATTATGTGTATGTGAGAGTGGTCAGGTTATGTGCACAAGAGTGGGTGGTCAGAAGAGGGCTGGGTCTCCTGGAGCAGGAGTTTCCAGCTGGGAACCAAACACAGGTTCTCTGGAAGTGGGCATAAATGATTGTAACCATTGAGCCATCTCTCCAGCCCAGACCACTGTCTATTTTAGTTCGTGAGTTTAGAATTGGGATGAAAGTATGCACACCACGCTATTATCGAATTGTTAGACTTGGAATCCCAAAGCTTGGGTCAGTGAGTCTAGCAGGCTTAAGCTGTACTTTGAGTTACTCTGGTACAGATAAGGAATCTGCAAGGAGTGCAGAAAACAAGGGTCTGTATTGGAAGAGGCACAGAATACAGGAGGAAGAGAAAGATATGGCATTAGTAGAATGGGTCCTTGTCACAGTAGAAGCCTTTCTTGGGAACATATCAGTTTTGCAATCAAAGTTTTTTAAGGATACAAAGCAGTGCATTACATACATATTTTAAGTGTTCAGTGATTTGAAGGTAAGGAGGCTTGTTAAAGAGAAGCTTTTTCCTTGAGAGGATGCCTTCCCGCCCGCCTGGTTCTAGATCGGCATCAGTCCCAAATAAACACACCGGAGGCTATATTAATTATGAAGCTGATTGCCTTGCTTGTTTCTTACTGGCTAGCTCTGACTTAAGTAATTACCCCATAATTGTTAATCTAAGTATTTCTCTTACCGGAGAATGGTTCCGGGCTTCCTACCCCCATGGCATTACATCTTGACTCTCTTGTGTTTCTCCTTCCCAGAGTTCTCCTGGACTCCTAGTCCCTCCTATCTAGGTTTCCTATTGGCTCAACAGTAATTTATTGACAAATGCACAGAACTTCCCCCAACAGAGGCTCCATCTGATAGCAATAATACTAATCATGCTAGAGACACCAGATGCTGGAGAAGGAGACAATGTAACTACATGAAGTAGATAGACCCCTTAACAAACAAACAAAAGCAAAGAAAACGCTGGTTCTACTACCATATAATAACAATTAAAATGCCAATGATTTTAAGCCTCTACTCTATATTTTATATATTAGTTTCTTGTTCTTTTCCTAAACAATTCATTATAAAAACGCAGACAAATTAATATTCTTTAAATAGCCATCTAAATCCTAATCAGGTTTTCTTAGCATCTTCATTTAGAGTGATGACCAGTGTGGGGAAGATCAAAACCTTTGCTCCAAATTAATTTCTTAGTTATCTCTTTATACTTGATCATACTCAATGCTCACAAAGCACACACAGCCTATGTAAAAGTGACAAACTCATTAGGTTTCCTTCTGGCTATGTAGGCCACTCAACTTTTCAGTTGAGTTCATGAAAGCTTATGTTTTTCTATACCAGAGGCAGATCCAGCAGAAGTGTGACACCTCCTCAGTGTGGTCTTCTTAATATGAGAGAGCAAAGGTAGCTAGCTTCAGGTGTCTTTTCCCAAAATATGAAGGATATTGTGGGGAATGAGACTAGCCAGTAAAGAGGAAATGAAGGAGAATAGAATTTGAAAATCAAAATAGCAGTACTAGTAGAAGTAGGCACTCTTTGTTGCCTCCTATAGAGAGCTTACATTCAGTCTTTCTCTGGAAATGGAAATGAGTAGGATGACACAGGGTTCCCTCAGTTAAGTTGGCTATTTTTTTGTTGTTGTTGTTATTTACTGGCAAATTACCTCTAACAGAATATATTAGTCCTAACCTATAACAGCCATTTGCCTTGTGAGAGGAAATGAAAATTACTGATATGAGTAACATGTTAACATGGGATAATATTAGTAATCCCTTTTAGGTGGAAACTTAGAATCCTGTCTTTGGAGAACCAGGTCAAAAAAAGGAGAAAAATAATTGAAGGGGGAAATAATATAGCATACTATATTTGTGAGACTCTGATTATTTGGGTCCATGTATGTGTGTGTGTGTATATATATATATATATATATATATATATGTATATATATATATGTATCAAGGAAAGCTTTGGACACAATACTTTTGTTAGTAGACAGGCATTAATAAAAAAAAAACACTCAATTTCAGAATGTTCCAGTTAAATTATAGGGACATCCAGCTATAAATGAGGCCGGGATCAGAGCTATGAATGTGAGATTTGCCATCTTACAGACTTTAGGAAAGCTGTGGGCAGTAGAATAAAAAATTTGTAACAATTGATAAAAAGTGCACACACACACACACACACATAGTGTTGCTAGACACTGTTTCTGGGAGAGATACAACAAAAAAGTCTGTTCAGTTCAAACTGAGAACCAATGACAGACCACTGTAACAGTCCTAAATTCCCCCTTGGTGAACTGGTGCATTTATTGACAGGAGCAGGAATGACATCATTGAAAGCCCACCCCAGCATGGGCCAACACTTTTGAAAGCTGGAACCTTGAAGGAAAATGAGTTGTAGGCTAGCCTGACTTATTTAACCTGACTGTGTCTTAATTTTTTTTAAATGGAGTTTACCTTCTTTGGAGAGGTTTTTACAATTCAAGAGAAAGGCCTATTATTATATCCAGACATAACAGTAGAAAAAGAAAAATGATTCTCTTTATTGGAGCAACTGCATACTTCTTTCTTTTCTAGAAATGGCAAAAAGTCTTTTGACTACGTCTCTGTCTGCAAGGACAAAACTGTTACAAACTGGGGTGTCGCTTTATAATACGTCTCATGGCTTCCATGAGGAGGAAGTGAAAAAGATATTGGAGCAGTTTCCTGGTGGATCCATTGATCTTCAGAAGAATCAGAATGGCATTGGCATTCTCACTCTGAACAACCCCAATAAAATGAATGCCTTCTCAGGTACAAGAGGTCTGCCTTCTCCAGATAAAGAAGGACACTAAGTCATAGCCTGCTAGCATAGTTTTCTTGGCCTTGAGCGGGTGAAAAGATTCTTGACAGTTTTGGTATTTCTTGTAGAATATATATATATACAGACACAATTCCCTATAATGTGAACCAGAAATATTTTGTAATTATGCATATGTGTATTTTTATAAATCACGAGTACAAATCTTGGTAAAATAAGATTTGTTTGTAATGGTAAATAGTCTAGCAGCCATCATTTAGAAAGCAGAACAGAATAGAGCTGCCTTCCCACCTCTGATGTCATCCATGCCTTCCGCGCCACGATGGAATACACCCTCATACTCCACATGCCACCCACATTTCAAATGTTCAAAATTTACGTGAAACTAATGGTACTAGCTTTATATATTCTATTATGTAGGTAGTATTAGTTTGATGTATAATGTGCAAAACAAATAAAAGCAGAGATGTATAAGTAATGGTGCTCTGTTAGCTTGGGCGGGGAGATGAGTGAACCCCTGATGCCTTTGCTTAAAACTAGTCAAAGCAGATACCCCAAGGCCTTTAGTGTGTAAGGACTCTTCCAGTTCTTAAGGGTTACTGCACTAAGTCAAAAGAATGAGTTTAAAATTCACTAGTATAATTCTCTATATCATGCCTACTATTACTGTAGCATGATTGAAGATGTATATTTATATATATTGATTTATTTTTACACTAAATGTGTAGATCTTTGGTTTCTCCCAAACTATAAATAATTTGCATGCAATAATATTGTTCAAGCATGCAGGACACTCTTAAGAAGTTTCCATTTTAAGAAGATCATGCTTAGAAAGGATGATTTTATTTATTAGTTATTTGTGAGTACATAACATTGATCTAACATTTACTGTAGAGCCCCATCCCACTTTCTACTTTAAAAATGGCAGCGTAGTGATTATTGACCTTGTGGGATTTTTTTTTCAAAAATAAGTCTGTATTTAATGGAATTCATGTATAACCTTCAATTATGATATTTACTTTGGCTTCTAATTTTGTTCCCTTTACCTAGGATATTAAAGATATTATGACCTTGGAAGATATCCAAAGATGTGCATAGATACAGATTATTCATTAGAACTTCAAATGGCATTCTCTGTGGTTTCCAATTTTAAATTCATTTTTAAAGAAGCTTATGAAGAATTTTGCAATCATATCACCGTAAAGATCTAATATATAAATCATTGCCTTGACTGCTTGTAGACCTGTGAAACACTTTCACAGGGTGCTTCAGGCATGTTAGCTTGTCAATCATGGTGTTAATCTATTATGTATTTATTGCCCTTTCCAGACCTAAGTAAAATCTTGTTAGTTTTTCTAGGAAGAGAGTTAGACTCACTTTGTCCTTTTATATAGCCTATTTATTATATAGTCTCACAGTCATCTTATGCTCATAAAACTTGTTAAGCTGTTCACTGAGACAATTATCATGTATTTGCTATCTTTATTTACCATAAGAAGTATTTTATGCTTATCACTGTATCCAGTATTACATATCCCAATTTTTGTATGTCTAGGACATGTATGATATATCCTTATTTTTCTTTCTAAATATATTTGTTGATTTCTTAAGATACATAGGCTAATGAATTTAAAATTGTAGGGCAGGGGCTTTTTTATATGCCTCGTTTGTGTATTCCATTGTATTGGCACAACAGGCATTTGGTAGACATACAGCAGGTATTTGTAAAGTGTATGTCCTGGTGATCTTGCTGGGCACTTTGCTATTCCTGTTTCTATCAGTCTCTTACATGTGTTCATGTTTTTACTTTCATCTGGTAGGTGTCATGATGCTACAACTTTTGGAAAGGGTAATTGAATTGGAAAATTGGACAGAAGGGAAAGGCCTCATTGTCCATGGTGCAAAAAATACTTTTTGCTCAGGATCTGATCTGAATGCTGTGAAAGCACTCTCCACTTCAGAGGCAAGTATGTGGGCTGTGCACCCGAGGTTGCTCCCATCAGACACAGCTGAGAAAGTCATATTTTAACCTATGTGGTTGTTGTCATACACGTACTCCTTGGTGGCCTTCAAACAATAGTTTTTATTTTGTTTAGATGGTTTCTTTTTTATTTTTTGAGAGAAATCATGAAGATTTAGAAAGGGAATAATATAGGAAAACAAATAAATGTTAAGGTCTTACAGGTTATCTATGAAAAACGTTTTGATTGACAAGCTGAAATGCCTCATTTTTGTGGTCCAAGAGGAGCACTCTTGACTGTGCTGGTGTTTTTGGAGACTGAGTGTCTCTTGTCTTCAGTATTGCTCCTGTGACTCTCCTTTCTCTCCAGTAATGCCTCCCACATCTTTCAGTTCTAATTTGATTGAATATTTTTATAAAGACAAAAATTGAAATTTTGGAATAATTTTAAGATTGTGAAAAAGATGGAAGAATAGTATAGAGTCTTCCATGTGTATACCCTGTACCCTTTGTTTTGGCATATTTACTTGGTATAAAGATTTTTTAAATACTTATGCACCAACATTTGTATTTTACTGTTAGTGAAAATCCATTCTATGATCTCACATGTGGGATCTCAATAGTGAAGCTTATTGAAGCACAGAGTAGAATGTTGGTTGACAGGTACTAAGGGCGGAATATGGGAAATAGAGTTTCTGTTACACAGGTAAATTAGTGCTAGAAATTAGTTCTCTAGTATAGTGTTTATAATCAGCAATGTTATCGTATATCTGTTTTTCTAAGATGGTGGATCTTACGTTGAATGTTCTTACACATATTCCACACTGATGATAAAGGGGATGCTAAAAATACTAGAAATGATGGGTGTATCTGCAGCCTGAATGGGTGCTGATAGTTGGGTTGGTGAGTATTTGCAAACTCAAGTTGTACACATTAGATATATACTTAGTTTTACATGTCAGAGTGGTGTAAAAGAAAGAGAAAATAGTTCCATAAAGTATTGGTATTGGTAGTTCTTTTGTGTCCTTTTTCTGCTTTGGAATCCTATACAGTAGTTTTCATGATTCCTTAGATGTTTCATCTGTGAAAGTTCCTCAAACTCTTTGTGTGTGTGTGTGTGTGTGGTCTTACTCTAGCTCAGATTGTCCTAGAGCTCATTATGTATCCTTGATTGGATTCAAAGTCCCTGAACTTCTCTCACCCCAGCCTTCTGAGAGCTAGGCTTATAGTCATTTTATAGCTGTGAGCCACTACAGCAGCTTCTTTGCAGGTAATATTCAGGGTTGCAATAACATTTGTAAAGTATTTATTACATGATTATTTTAAAAATAACAAGTAGAAATGGTGTGCATAAGATTCCTGAACCATTTTTTTCAGATAGTCTGTAGTCTGCTACACCTGAGAAGCAATTATGTTTGTGTAAATATGAAACTTAAAATCCTGGAGTCTAGGAATGTTGGGCTCTTAACATGAGTTTCAGTTGCAGTCTGAATGTGTCTAACACTTGCAGCTGAGACCATGAGAACTATTGTGATCTCACAATGTGAACGCGTTTTCTCTCAGGGAAGCTCTTCTGTGTCCAGCATACTGAGTCTGTGTGACAGATATGTCAGTAGCATCTACATACTTGGTGAATATGCTTTCTGGGAATGATGAAGTAACTGAAATATGTAAAAAGTTAGCAAGTGGATTACATTGTCCTCTAAATATACTGAAATACTTTAGTGCGGTTATTAGAGGAATTGTCTTTAAAACGTAATTAAATTGGTGTTTTGCCACTGTAATATTTCAATTAAGACATTTTGAAGAAGCCCGGGTGGTGGGTGGCGCATGCCTTTAATCCCAGCATTTGGGAGGGAGAGGCAGGCGGCTCTCTGTGAGTTCGAGGACAGTGTGGTCTACAAAGCTACACAGAGAAACCCTGTCTCGAAAAAACAAAACAAAAGAAAAACTTCTGAAGGAAATTTCCAAATGTCCACAGAAACAGACAAATCCAGTGAAACCATCATGTATCCATGGTAGTGTCAACACTGGCACTATTGTATCCTAAGCTGTTTCCTTAGGTTTTTCCTTTCGTGTGTAACTGACCCCTTAAGCTGGTTTCTTTTGGAGTCTTTTGTTTCATGCTGAGGAAAGGAACTCCAGTTGTCCCTATTACACAGTTGGGTCTTAATGGAAAATGTGGAAGATGGAGTAATGTGACCAAGGATTAGCCCTGAAGAATTATGTAAGGGAGAAAAAGCAAAAGATAGAAAAAAAAGGGTACACATATTATTGAATTATAAGAGTAAGGTTTTATGCTATGGATATTCTGGAGACCCTAAGAAGTCTCTTTATAGAAGTAAGAAGGAATCAAAGTCCACAGTGGTACAGAGGGAAACACAGAATTGCTTACTTTACAGCAAGTGTGTAATGCTTCAAGGAAAGGTTGGGGGCTTAGCAAGTTTCACAGTCTTAACCTAGGCTGAAGATGATGTCCTCCTTTGTCGCTGCCCCCGTTTGTTACCCTCCTGACAGTGGATTGCTTGGGTCTTCGTTGCTTAAATGTCTACAGGAACTCCCCCCTCCACCCCAGTTTCTGTCTAACTGCTTTGGGCTTGCTGCTACCCTTGTACAATTTCATTTTAGCTATAGTAATATACAAATGACTTATTTTCCAGAAATCTTTCAGTGTATTTAAAATAAATTCACTAATCCATGAAGCTGGTTCTTATGGTCATATAACAAGACACTGTGCAAGATGGGAGTTACTGTACTCAAGATGGGCACAGGTGCAGAGGGCGGTGCTTGTGGGGTTTTGTGCACATTGGGTACTGCACGCCTTGTCATGGTTGATACTAGGAAGACCTAGACAGGTGAGGTTGGATCTCAGGATACAGACAGAGGAAACAGCATCTGCAGCAGTTCTCCATACCTTTGCCCAATACTTCCCAGTTGCCTATACCCAAACATTAGTAGGTCTGTCTGTCTGTTTTTCCCATAGTTATTTCCTGCAGGTAGTGTTTTATGTTTTGCTGACTTCTTTCTTTGTCTGTCTGGCTTTCTTTCTTCCTTTCTTTTTAATGTATGCCTATGTATCACCTGCATGTCCAGGAAGGACAGAATAGGGTATTTGATCTCCTAGAATGCGAGTTACAGATATGGTGAGCTACAGTGTGCGTGCTGAAAATTGAACCCTGGTTCCTAGAGGAATAGCCTGTGCACTTAACTGCTGAGTAATGTCTCTAGCCCATTGATTTCTTTTCTTCCCTCACCTCAGGTAACTGAATGAGTGTTTGACTTTGTATCTTTGGGTGATGAATTAATAATAACAATTCTTCCTCTCCCTCCTCATGCTCTACTTTCTTGTTTTTTGTGTAGACCAGGCTGGTCTGATACTCACAGAGATTCTCCTGCCTCTGCCTCCCAAGTGTTGGGATTATAGCGTGTACCAACAGCAACAACAAAAAAAAAAAATCAGTACACAGTACCTTAATGGTTGTTGCAGAAATATTATTGAGGACTTGTTACATTCCTTAGCCCCCATCTTGTAGAGGTAATATGTCAAATCATGAATTGAAACAGTTGGTAAGTACTGCAGTTAAGGTGCAGGAACAATAGTAATAAAGCAGTAGTGTGAAGCCAAAAGAGAACGCTATTGAGGCATTTGGAAAGTGGTGATGGAATCACATTATTGGACATGGGCATTCCTTGAAATAGAACAAGACTAGTAATAACACCAGCATTCTGAGCCTGCTTTTCATTGTGACTTTTCTAGTTGCTAAGCAGTGTGTGCGTGCGTGTGCGTGTGCTTGTGTGTGTGCTTGCATGTGTGTGTGAGTCTTTCCCACCATCCTGTAAATCAGCCAGATTCCTATTTTTATCCCCCATTCCTATGGATGAGAAAACTGAGCTCATAGTCATGATTTGCTCAAGTGCATGCTGTTGCTAAGTGGTAGAATAAGAACTCAAACTGCCCTGGTAAGTTTTGCAGTGCTGAGTTTGAGGTTCTGATGCTTCACATAAACTAACAGTGGGAGTGGTTTAAACTTTCAAAGAAAAGAATACAAGTAAAGGGGGAGAAGGGGGGAGAGAGAGAGAGAGAGAGAGAGAGAGAGAGAGAGAGAGAGAGAGAGAGAGCGCTATGGGGTGGGTTTAGAAGAGTACTTTTCTTTAGGGGATTGGCTGAGTGGGATGAATGAATGAAGGGGGAAATCTGGAGAACAGTCAAAGCAACAGACAAACAGAAAGCTGTTCTTAGAAAGAGAGGATCACAGTGAAGGAACCTCGTTAAGTTGAAGAGAAGATGATACGGAATAAAGAAAAGTCATTTAATTTGGCAAACAGTATTAAAATGTTTTGGGACAAGGCTGAAAGCCAAGTTATACTGGATTAAAGAAGGTATGGCTGTTATGAGAAAATATGTAGTTTGTGAAAAATCTAGGAATGAAAGCCTTAGAGTACAGAATCCCAGAGCTCATTATAGCTTCTTGTTTTGCACATGGCTTCCTAGAGGAAGCAGGTGGGAGAGTCTGACTCAAGTTTCTCCCGGGTTAGGGTGACTGATTCTTGACTCTGTACTAGGAAGCTGAAATGGTCAGTCTTGGTTGTCAACTTGATGGGACTGAAGAGTCTCCATGGATATAAGCATTTGGGCATTCATGTGAGGGGTTTGCTAGATTAGGGTTATTGAGAAGGGAAGAACACCCTGAGTGTGGGTGGCACTGTTCCATAGGCTGGGGTGCTGGTCTGAATGAGGAGCAAGCAAGTTGAGTAGCACCGTTCCCCTCTGCCTCCTGGCCGAGGCTGCAGTGTTCCCAGCTGCTCGTGGTCTGCTGCCATGCCTTCCTTGCCATGACCAACTAGATGCTCAAACTATTATGCCAGATCAACCCTCCCTGTTTTTTCCATAGTTATTTCCTCCCCTCCCTCTCTCTCTCCCTCCCTCCCTCCCTCCCTCTCTTCCTCTCTCTCTCCCTCCCTCCCTCCCTGCCTTTCCCCTCCCCCTCCCACCCCCTCCCCTTCCCTTCCTTCCCTGTTTTTAGAACTTTAGCCACATCGTTGAGAAGAGTGAGTGATTCAGGCTCCCGTGTGCAGTGCTCAGTCCCAGCTGGCCCTGGGAGAGTGGCACAGACAGTACCGTTTACACTTCAGCCCCACAAAGTGCAAAATGAAAACTTCCATTTCCAAAACAAATGGCTTTGTTTCCTTTCTAAATCTGAATTTTAAAAGTATTTCTTATGTAAGATACTAATTTTTGTGTTTATGCTTATTTTTCTTTAAAGAATGGAGTGGCTTTATCTATGTTCATGCAGAACACCTTAACAAGATTTATGAGGTAATGTGTCTTTCTTTTAAAAATAGGATTTTTTAAATACCCAGATTAGTAATTTAGTATTCCATTAGTGGTACATTTAAAAAGGTTAGACGAGCTTCACTGTGTCTGTTGTCATGATGGACTCTGTCTTTACGCCATAGGGAGCAATCATTAGGATGAAATGCTAGTGAGGTGTGTGTGAACAGTTTTGTAGAGGTGAAAGAGGAAAACCATTTGAGAAACCGTGCCCATATAACCAGCTACCACCAAGAACAGTGCTGGTGACAGTCAGATACTGACAGCAGGCAGAGAAGGGTGTGGATCAGGAGGTGACTGGCAGAATCCCTCCAGGATGGAGGGTGGCAGAAGTGGAGTGAAGCAGACAGCCTGCAGATGGGGGAGGACTGGGGACTGCAGAATCCTTTTCTTGCTTTCTGACAAGAATGGGGTTACTTTACATCCAGATAGAGGGAAAGGGAGAAAAAAATATGCATTTTAGATGACAAATTTCAATATGCTTTGAATCTCTTTCTGATTTCTTAATCTATATATAAGCAGTTTAAAATTATGAAAACTAAGAAAATTCATATTTAAGTATGCTTATTAATTGTACATTTCTGTATTTTTAGCACTCATCTGAGAGTCTAGAAAAGTAATGGGATCATAGTACTACTGCTTTAAATACCATTGCCTTAACTCTCTCTCCCACCACACTGCTCTTTCTAGTGTAAAACTTTCTTATTTTAGATTATTTTACTTTATATGGATAAGTGTTTTGTCTGGGTGTCTGTATTGTGCACTACATGTGTGTCTAGTGCCTTCAGAGAACACTATATTCGCTACCATTGGATGCTGGGGATTGAACATGGGTCCTCTGCAAAAACTACAGGCACTTTGAACCACTGAGCCATCAGCCCTTGTTCTTGTTTTTTTTTTAATTTTTATTAATTTACTTTTGAGGCAGGATATTATGTAGCCCAGTTTGGACACACACACACACACACACACACACACACACACACACACACACACACTTACTATTAGTTAAGGCCTGCCTTAAACTCCTGACTCTCCTGCTTCCATCTTCTGAGTGCCTGTATTACAGGTATGTAACACCACATCTGGCTAAAAGTTATTCTTGTTTAAGTAATCCTTTGTATGTGGAAGTAGGACTTACTAGGCAACATTTAGTCAGATTAGGCCAATAGCATTACATTTTGGTTAGAACCTATTAAAAATATATACTTTGAAAACATTTTAGGGGACTGAGTGGTGGTAGCGCACGCCTTTAATCCCAGCACTTGGGAGGCAGAGGCAGGCAGATCTCTGTGAGTTCGAGACCGACCTGGTCTACAAGAACTAGTTCCAGGACAACCTCCAAAGCTACTCAGAGAAATCATATCTCGAAAAATCCAAAAATAAATAAATAAATTTTAGATCTACCTTGTAGTATGTCTTACACTGCTGTGACAAGGTTTTATTTTATTATTACTTTTTAAAAAAAAATAAGGTCTCACTATGTAGCCCTGGCTGTGCAAGAACTAGACCAGGCTGTCCTTGTACTCTAAGACATCTGCTTGTCTCTGCCTCTCAAGTGCTGGGATTGAAGGTGTTTACTAATGTCTGCCATGCATGGGTCTTTATAAACAGAAGCAATAAGATTTCTTTTAAACACTAAGTAATACTTATATATAGGAGCAGTCTATGGCCATGTAGGCAGTAGTGATGTGTCTTTTGGTGGAACTCTTAAATACTTGATTTTGTATCTCTGTGTTTTAGATCAGGTTATCTCTTTGGATATGACTGTAATACCCCCAACCCTGAATATAGAGCAGACAGTTTCACAGTGAGTGTGCTGTGGAGAGTCTTTGGCACTGCAGGTGTATCCTAGGCTCCGTGTTTAGAAGACAGTGACAGTATGTACTACCACTGTGCAGCAGGCAGTGAGTTTTGCTAACCTCTGCAGCACTGGTGTGAGCTGCCCTGTGTGTCGCCTCATGCCACTTTACTACTGATAGTGCAAGGACTCACTACCCTTGATGGTGCTTGTTATTAACACATCTGTTTTCCTTCCATATCCAGACTACCGTTGATAAGTGTTGCTCTGGTTCAAGGCTGGGCAATGGGTGGAGGAGCAGAATTTACTACAGCATGTGATTTCAGGTAAGATAAAAATTACTGCAGCCAGAAACACAATTAGCACATGCTTGAATGTAGTTTTGCCTTAATTTCAGTATTAGCAAAATTCCTAAGAAGGAAAGCCAAGGAAATATATGTAACTCTAAAATCCAAGAGCATTATTCAGAAGGAGTTAACAGCTGAAGAACGTAAGAAAAAGAGAAAAGAATGGACATAAAGATTCCTGTGCCTGTCTTCAAGAAAGATTTGCTGAGTTCCGTTTCTTTCTGAGATCCATGTCTCCATCATCTATAATTTATAGCAACTTTATAAATGAGAGAACAAAGTTGCAGGAAATTTTGGAAGCTGGTAGTTCCTCTCCCTTAGAATTATTTCCAGCTTTCAGTAGCAGTGTGGGTACAGAGTCTAGAAAATCTGATGCTTTTCATAGTACTGTCCCAAGGAACCACTCTAAGGGAACTATTCTGTTGTGTGCTTGTCCTGAGACCCATAGACGTGGAGGAAGACAATATCATGTTGAACAGTTCTGTGTTGACAGCTTTGAGAATTCGCTGGAGCCTTGAGTCATAGCAGAGAAGTGTGTCTGCAAGAGAGGGTGCTTTCTTTTCAAGTACCCTTGACCCTTTTAAGTGTTCAGAAATGGTGTGTGTTGCAACCGGAGTTAAAACAGGAGGGCAGCAAGGAGCCCGAGCACTCACCCTCCATCTACTGAGTCTCACTCTGAGCCACTCTATCTGACTCAAGGAAGCAACTGTTTTAACTCTTTATGTCTCCCTTAAATGCTTTCAGTGAGGTCGTGTATATATAGATTATAGCATAATGTTCACCCTTAATGTATACAAAATATTACTTTGAGTCTTAAAATTACTTAATAAAATAATAATATGGCATACTTTAAAACTATTCTTTGTTTGACATTTTATGTCAATAAAATAACAATATGGCATATTTTAAAGCTATTCTTTGTTTGGTGTTCTTTCTGCTGTAGGGCTAATCTTGGTTTTATTTTACATTTTTAAAAAGTACTTTATAGCAATATAGAATGATTTGATGTAATATTAAACAGGAGACAATTCCAGCTTCTAAAATCTTTCTCACAGAATGTATAATTTTAAGCATCACTTTTTAAAAAAGGATTTATTTATCTTTTTTTGTATGAATGTTTTTGCTTGTATGTGTATCTGCGCCCACAGAGGTCAAAAGAGGACATCAGATCCCCTGAAGCTGCAGTTAAGACGGTTTTGGGCTGTAATGTGGGAACTGGGAATTGAACTCATTTTCTCATAATGAATAATAAATATTTTTAACTACTGAACTATCTCTCCAGCTCCTAAAAATCAAATTATCAAGATGTGCCCATTCCTTCTTTTTAACCCATTATGTATACTTCATCTTTCAAAATCTTGGCACATGTGTTAGAAAAGTTTCAACCCAATTCTGGCCCAAATTCTGAAGCTAAGGACATAGCCCATCTGATAATATAGCATTCTGAATATTCCAATAGTTTATGTTGATCTAAGTTATCAAGTTTTTGAAATAATCTTGTATTCAGATATAAATTACCTGCAGCTAGAAGCACCCATATCAATTGTGCAGTGTACAGGAATTTTGATGATATATCATCCCATGTAGCTACCAAAGTTAAGACATGGAACATTTTTACTTTACTTATATACTTGTGAATAATGCTACAATAAACATGGGTATGCAGGTATCTCTATAAGTTAACTTGGTTCCTACAAGGTATATTCACAGGAGTGCTACATATAACTGGATCATATGGTAGATCTGTTTTTAGTTCTGGATGATCCTTTGTGGATTACCAAAGTGACTGTACTAGTTGCTATCTCTCCAGTAGTGTAGACAGCTTCTTTTTTCTGCATCCTTGTTGGCATTTGTTCTTTTCCTGTGACTTGATGACAGCTGTTCAGTCTTGGGTGAGATGGAATCTCCACGTAGTTTTGATTTGCATTTTTTCTAGCAGGTAAAATGTTGAACTTAATGTTTCATGTGCTCATTGGCCTTTTACACTTATTTTGAAAATTGTCTGTTTTGCTTTGTTCGTTTATTGGTTGAATTATTTATTTGGGGAAATACAATTTTGAGTTCTGTGTATGTTTTATTCAGTGTTGCAATGTCTGCCTTTTAATTGATGGATTTGTCCTACTTTATACTCGTTATTGATATGATTTTATTTCTGTCTACCATACATATTTTTTAAAAGTTATTTTTATATGTCTTAGGGTGTTGCCTATATGTACCACATGGTCCTCTCAAGAGGGTAAAAGAAGGTATTAGATATCCTGGAGTTATTGGTAATTGTGAGCCACCCTGTCAGGGCTGGGAACTAAGCTTGGGTCCTCTCCAAAAGAAATTGCTCATAATCATTGAACTATCTTTCCTGCCTCCTCACTCTACCATCTTAATATTTTTTAATAACCTGATTCTATTTGTTCTCTTACTCTCTTTTCTTGCCTCATTGTAGATTGTGTAATAACATTTTACTTCTATTGACCCCCCTCCCAACACACACAGTGAGAGAGAGAGGGGGGAGAGACAGAGAGAGAAAAACTGGCTTCTTCTAGTTTTGAATTAACAATATGCATCTTAAAGTTTTCACAGCCTTCCATCAAATAATAAACTAATTCATGTAAGATGCTAGGGTATTACACAATATATCTATTTCTTGTGTCCTGTTCTTTGGGTATATTAATATTGATTTTGTTTCTGTGCATTATAATGGCACAATTATTATATTTTTGCTTTAGTCAATTATCATTTAAATAAATGCACATAGTGAAAGTAAATTGCCATGCAAATTATATTTTCATCAGAAAGAATATTTGGGTATATTATGCTAGTTTATACTGATTGCCAACTTGATAGGATCTAGAATCATTTCAGAGAGAAATCACTAGCTTATCCATGAGGGATTACCTAAATTAGGTTACTTGAGGTTGGAAGATCCACCCTAACTATGGGCAGGAGCATTCAGTGGGCTGGGGTTCTGAACTGTATTAAAAAGGGAATGTACCAGGATGCATAGCTTTCTATTTCCTAAGTGTGCATGCAGTGTGCAGAGCTGCCCTCCTGTTCCTGATGACTTACCTCCTCACCAGGATGCAGTGCACCCTCCCATCCTTGTCATGATGGAATGTATCCTCATACTCCTCATATCACACCTTCCTTGTCATGATGGAATGTATCCTCATATTCCTCATGTCACACCTTCCTTGTCATGATGGCGTGCACTCTTGTATACCGTGAGTTGGAGTAAAACCTTCCTTGTTTGTCAGGAATTTTGACGTCACAGTGAGAAAAGTAACTATCACAGATTCCACACAGTTACTTTATAGAGTTTTGTAACGTATTTTTTTAACGTCATAAATGGGGATGAAATTTTCCCTAACAAGGAATTTTTGGGGCATTATGTTTATTTATTTTGTTGTGTATTATTTGACTAGTTTAGAAACTAAGTTTTGATAAGGCAGTTAAGATTTTGGTTCTATGTATATCAAACATAACTGTTCTGTTACCTGTTACAAAATCAGAACTTAGGCAACAATGACTCAGTCAAAAGTAGGTACCTGGCAACACCTTTGGATTCCCCTACTTTCCCTCTTCTTCACAACTTCTCATTTCCATGCAGGGTTAACATAATACACTCAATATTATCATAATGCCCTTCATGACTTCCAGTCTTATAAACTAATGTTCTGTAATAAATGTTTTCCCGTTTTAACTTCTTATAGATGACGTAGAATAATAGAAATAATGAGAAGATTCAGCAAACTCTTGAATAAGAAAATTTTGTTTTTCATGTGATAATTAAGGACTTATTTTAGTTAAGTTTTATTTATTACTCGGAAACTTTAAAGTTGTTTTGATGTAAAAGACAATTTACCAAGATCGTCACCTCTTTGAAAACCAGTATGAGTGGATTCATGGATACAATGAAAACCAAAAAACATTCTGTCATAGCACCCTCTGCTGTCAGAACTTCAGACTGCATTAGGTTGCTGCTTGGTTTTGTTCTTGGAAGAAGCAGTCACACTAGCTTTGTGGGCGATGTGAGACTAAATAGGAAATGCTTTATGTATAAGGTGATAAATGCTTGTTTTCTTTATTTTAGCCAGAAATACACGTACAGAGTATAGTATGTAATTATATAGATATAAAATATATTCAAAGAGTTCTAAGCTATGTGCAAACAGGTACTGATATACCTAATATTCTTCCATAAGAGCTCAAGTTAAGAATTTATAGATGTTCTAGGACTACCAGACAGAAATGTAACAAAGAAATAAAGGAATTAACAGAAGTTGTGACTCAGTTGGGTTTAACAGACATCTATAGAACATTCCATCTTCCTTTCAGCACCACATGGAACTTTCTCTAAAATCAACCACATACTCGGCAACAAAGCAAACCTCAACAAATACAAAAAAACAAACAAACAAAAAATGGAATAAACTCTTGTATCTTATCAGATCACCATGGTTTAAAGTTAGAATTCAACAGTAACACAAATTGCAGAAAGCCTACACATTCATGGAAATTGAACAATGCTCAATTGCATCACTCCTGAATCAAGTAAGAAATTAAAGACTTCCTAGAATTCAATGAAAATTAAGGCACAACATACCCAAACCTTGAAAACAGTGCTAAGAGTAAAATTCATAGCACTAAGTGCCTACAAAAAGAAACTGGAGAATAGTCACACTTGAGAGGCCATGTTAGGATTTCCAGCCACGTGATCTGGCTGTACCTCCGTGTACTGCATAGGAGAGCTCTGCAGTCTTCCATTTCAATACATATTCCATATTTTATTACAGATTACTATATGTACCTTTCTTCATTAATGAACACTAACTCCAGTTTTCTTGTGTATATTTTATTAAAAAAATTTCTTGTTCAGTAGAGTTTCACTTCATTTAGAAATGTTCTTGGACCTGTTTGCTAACCCTGAACTAGGGTTCCCTCATTAGAAGGCAGGAGCATGACAGAGTAGCCTTTTCTGTACTTTGCATCTGATCTGGCATCCCTGTCAAAAATAACAGTCAGATCATAGAGATGGCTAGCTCAGCAGGGAAAAGTGCCTGAATTCAATCCCTGGGTCCCACATGGCAGAAGGGGAGAACTGCCTCCCACAAACTATGTGGAGACCTGTGTGTGTGTGTGTGTGTGTGTGTGTGTGTGTGTGTGTACTGTGGTGTGTGTGTGTGCTGTGGTGTGTGTGCATACACACACACAAATCATCTTCGCCCAGTTGTGAGGTTTTTCCTGTGGTAGTTCCATCCAAATAGTAAGACACATACCAACATCTGATGAATTTCTTCTCTTCCTCACCATTATATCAGGTGCACTTAGAGCTCTTATATCAAAGTTAGGGACTTTAATAGCTTTATAAATTGGATATGATGACTTTATAGTTATACGGGCTAAGTCTCCTATATGGGTTCTTAGATTCTCCTTGCAATAAGCATTCCAGGTGATACTGGGTAACTCAGATGTATAATCCTGGGAAATGATGACGCAGCAGTTCCCATTTTGAGATATATTTTTTGGACCATTTCCTTTTATTTTCCAACACTTGAAACTTTAAAGTTTAACTCTGTGAGGCTAATGAAGGATCTTGTGAAATGTTTCCTGCTGAGAGCTTTGTATGTCTCTAACTGTAGAAATGCCTTGTTTTCTTGTGACCAATGGATTTCTTTCTTTTTTTTTTTTTGCAAAAGAAGCACGATAATTTTATTTGGAGATTAACAGTGAGATAGATTAAAGACGGATGCATTGCAGTGATTGACATTTATTGCACATGGATAGAAGTTCTCAAGGGCTTTAAGCTGCAGCCCGAGGTCTCTTTTTATTGGGTCTAAGGAAAGAGGGGTTGGTGACTAAGGGCTACCAATGAATGGATTTTTAAAATTATGCTTAATGCATGCTAAAAGGTATGTCAATACAGTATACTACTAGCTATGTAATTTATAAAGAATATATGTCAGTTTATAATGCATACTTTTACACAGATTACTTGAGGATTTGTTAGTTGTAAAATAGGATTCAAGTGGCAACCCAACCCGATCCCATCCCCAATACTCACATGGTAAAAAAGAGAGAACCAGGTGACCTCCATACGTATGGCATGTAATGTGTGCCCACACATGCACATGAAAAATGAATTTGATAAAACTTTTTAAACATACATAACTGATCTTGGCAAAGTAAAGAAGAGACAAAACACATGTAAGGATAATACCTACATTATAACAACTCATGCATGGCCACTGTAATAACTCGTAAAGTATCCTCTACATCATATTGACATCTAATGTCTCACTAATTTATGTTCAGTTCTAAGTGAGCTTATTCTTGACATCATTAGCTATACTAATAGCTAAACCATGCCAATTCCAGAATTTGTTTTAAAAACTGGCATATTAAGTTGTCCTGAGACTGCGCTCAAGAGTAAGAATTGTTTCCATTTCCACAGCTATTAGATATTGTATTTTGCAAGTTTAATTCCAAAATTTTGGCAGGTTCCTATTGTGGAGTTAGATTCTTTTGACAATTAGACTTGCTCTGTCTCTTGTGACATACTCTTGATGGAAATTCATCTCTCTGGGGAGAAAGTTTCCCAGTGGGTTAGTAAGCTTTTGCAAAAATTTTCTGCAGTGTTTCATGATTAAAGGTCAGGGTGCAGTCTGAGAAACTTGGTACTAAGAGAACTAAGTCATCCATAGTTGAACGTACAGTGTGCTGGAAAGGCAAATCACTTCAGCTTTTCTTTCTTATAGTGAGTAGTTTTGAAAATAATTATTCCAAAGGAAAAAAATAAATTGCGATTTGAAATTTAGTTAGGTCAAGTTAGGTTCTGATACAATAAGTCTTCTGTTGATGCATGCAACAAGAACGTACACAAGCAACATTTCCTAAAACTGTAGAACTTTGTAATATACAACTAGTATTATACCCACCAATTATTAACTTCCATTTATTATTCTATGAATTACCCTGATCATAAAAATACTACTTGGGGATATAACTCCTTCTATAGGAGCCTACTGCTGTCAGTCAGGCCAATCCAAGCCACCGCCATCTTACTTTTCCTGCTCCTGCTTTTGTCTAGCTGAGACACTGAGCTCAACTATCTGGGGTCAAGTCCTGGTGATTCTGTTGCATGCTTATTCAACCGTAAAATGAGAGTATTTGTCTCAATTACTCTTAAAAATTTGTTAATATGAAGTTCTTTTTATTTGAAGGCTGGGTTCTCATTTTCAAAGTTTGAAAAAGCTAAAACAAAATGATATTATCAAAAGCAAATATTTGTTGAATAGTACGTGGTAAATTAAATTGTAGTTGGGAACATTCTCCACAATGTTTTTATGTCTGCCTAAACCAATTAATTTTGTTAGCTCAGGATAATGTACTGCTTTACAGTTGTAATATATATGTGTACTTACAGAGTTTCCTCTCTGTTCTTACAGGTTAATGACTGTGGAGAGTGTGATCAGATTTGTCCACAAGGAGATGGGGATAGTTCCAAGCTGGGGTGGTGCCAGCCGGCTGGTTGAAATCATTGGCAGCAGACAAGCTCTCAAAGTGTTAAGTGGGACCCTCAAACTGGATTCCAAGAAAGCTTTAAACATGGGCTTTGTTGATGAGGTCTTACAGTCTTCCGATGAGGCTAAGGCTCTAGAAGAGGCACAGGAATGGCTAGAGCAATTTGTCAGTGGGCCTCCAGAAGTCATTAGGGGGTTAAAAAAATCCGTCTGTTCAGGCAGAGAGCTGTATTTAGAGGAAGCACTGCAGAATGAAAGAGATGTTTTAGCAACACTGTGGGGTGGACCTGCAAACCTAGATGCTATTGCTAAGAGAGGGAAACACACTAAATAGCTTTTAAAATATGGGAGGAAGTGAAGTGATATTAAAAATGAGCAGCAGAATTCATTTGAAATTGACTGCTAATACACTTATGTGGTTTGGATGATATTTTTCATATTGTTGGTTTTTCTTTTTTAACATTTGCTTAAAATCTCTTCTACCAATTTCTACATTCCTATAGTAATTCCTATCCTAGAGCCAAAGATCAATTTTCAAACAGAAAGTCTATTCTTTGGCTTATCTTTTATAATACATTTACTAATTTAAATTTTAAGGCAGGGTCTTAAACTTACTATGTAGCCAAGGATAGTCTTGAATTTCTAATCCCCCTGCCACCATCTCCCAAATGCTGGTATATACTATTACATCTGGCCATTTTGTTCTTTCTTAAGTTGATGTAATTTACAAAAACAAAATTAAAAACCAAAGACCTCAGTAAATTTTTCTTATGAAGCAAAAAGGGAGGATTAGAGGCGTGTAAGAAATGGTTGTCATTTGCTCTGCTCTGTACATTTAGGATACTGATGGGAAATGGCCCTTTATTGGGGAAATGAAAAGGTGTATCTTTGCTGAACTTGGAGCTTTAGTTGGTCTTTTTAACTGTGTTTCAAATGACCCACTAAACAGTGAAAGCCACTATACAGAGCACTGACTGGCTGTACAAAGTAGCTTTGCATTGTTCCCTGGAATTACAAAGCCAATGGTAAAATAGTGCTGTTGATGGGGTTTTATAATTGAAACTATTAAAGATTTGTGAAGCATCATTAAACATTTTCATTTTTATCAGATTGATTTTTTTAATAATACTTAAAATTCTTGTGTGGCTATCTTTTTAAAAACTAAATTAAATAAAAACACGTAAATGAAATGTCATGTTCATCTCAGAAAAGTTCTTTAAAATGTATGTGTAAGAATTAAATTCTCCTGACCTGTCTCAATAAAAGGTAAAAGACACTCAAAATAGTGACTGCTTTTTGTTTTAGTATTCGGTTAACTTGGTAACCTTAAAAGAGAATCTGGAATATGCACCACACAATCCCACTTTCTAAAGGGAATACAGACACGATTTTTCAAGATACAAATTCTCAGTTTTGTGCTCACCGATACTTTCTACCTTGCCAAGCCATAGAAAGTAGGCTTATTTGATCTATAACATCATGCGTGCAAGTTTTCTATATAGCCTAGACAGTAATACCACTGATAGAAACTGGTAAAGGCAATGTAAAATTAATGGTATTAGCTGCTTGAGAAATTTAAATCTCACAGCCTTTGTGTTTTTTTCCACATCTGTTTATTCCAAACACAATGCCACAAATAGCTTCTCTGTACACATTCTCTTATGAAGAAATCAAACTTGAGTGGGGACAATTTAAGCGGAATACAATCAATTCAAACCCAGCCTCTTTAAAAAGCTCTTCAGCCACAAATGCCAAAGTTCCCCCATCCCTTTTCCAAACTCAAACAAAAAACAATTATTTTTGATAAACTCTAGTATTTATTAAATTATATAGTTTTTTTAATCAAAAAGAAAAATGCAGACTAAGAGAAACGTCCAAGGACAAGGACAAGACAGCAGACCCTATGGAAAGGAACACCATGAAGAGTGTCACAGATTGTGGAACAACTTAGCAGCTGCTGCTGTACATTTCTATCTCGGTAAGACCAACTATGAAGTAGCTGTTAGTCATCTAGTCTTAACCCCAAATTCACATCTATTTTCCACATTAAGCTTCCTGCTCATAACGATATCAAATACCTCACAGGTGCCAAATTTTAGTAATGATTTTATACCAATCCATGCAGAAAAATAAGGTAGTGCAAGAGTCAGATGAGGACCATTAATGCACAGGTACACATTGGCCAAAAAAAGAACTAAAGACTTAAAAAAATACACTAGAAGGTAAACAGATGTCAAGAAAACTGTGTTATTACTGAACAGCTCTCAAATATCAACACCCCAATTCCTCACATTAAATAAATTTCAACAGAGACATGTTAGACATTTTAATTTCAGGTCTGTCCTTCCCATATCCCTTCCCACCCCAACTCCCACAATGCACTACTAAGGATGAGTATGTTATGTGGGCAGAAATTTACAGGTACCCATTTCACCCTTGAGTGGTGGCACTGAGACGTTTATTTAAACCTCTGTCACTGTGCACTGTCCATCAGGCCTTCTCGACCTGACACTGACACTCATGGTTCCAGCCCCTGCTGCGGATCGGTCAGTCCCTGACCGGTCTGATCGCTCAGCTACTGTCTGGTTTGCATTTGAAACCAAAAGTCTCTGCTGGGCCAAGGAGTGCTGTGCAACCACCACAGGGACATCCTCACTGTCACTGCTGGCATCCGACTCAGTTTCTTCAACAGACGTGTCTGGTACTCTGCCAGAAGATGGTGGGGATTCCCGGTCTTCTTCTCCTTCGCCTCTGTGACTCCTTTCAGCTATGCTGTCTCCACTGAGTTGTAAATGAGCAAAAGAGTCTTCCAGAGAAGTGCCTGCGTCGGGGGACGGTGTTACAGGGCTGCTTAACTGACCGTCGACGGATGTGAGGGGCCTGGAGGAAGACGGCACTGGAAGCTGAACAGAAGCTCCGCTCTGTGCTGACACACTGTCCGCACCGTCAGCAGAGCTCTCTCTCGCTAGATTTACAGGACTCGTGTCACAGTCCAGCCTAAGTCCAGCTACTCCCTTCTTTGGTATATCTATTATATCTCGCTTAATCTTCCTGCGACGTCCGTGTTCATTTCTCCTATACTGAACCATGTTTTCAAGATCAGCAACATACAGAAACCCAGCAATTAACATTTCCGTGTTCTTTTTCCCTTTGGAAAAAGCATCTTCCAGCTCCCGACTAGTGCGCTCATCATACTGCCACCACCCGTTTCTTCCTTCATAATACCACGCATATTCACCATTTCCTCTGCTTGCCGCCTTAAGTTCTTCCGGCGACAACAGGGTTGGCTTGTCAAGGAAGTCCTCAGGAATCTCTTGTCGACAAAGAGCACATCGCTTCCCAAGCCACGAAGCGCCCTTTACACACAGATAACAGAAAACATGCTTGCAGGGCAGACTGACTGGATGAACACACGTCTGCAGACAAATGGCACACTCAGGAACTGTTAGAGAAGGTGCGGCATTAGAACAGGACTCGCTCGCCTTCTTATTTGTAGGAAGCATATTTATTGAGTGATCAATTTCACCACAGCCAGCCATCCTAAGAAAATGAGAGAAAAAAAAAGTGAAGCCAGGTCAAACTCCTCTGATATCTTAATTCATTAGTTCAGAAAATACCCAGAGAGTACCTATTCCAGGCAAACCACATGCTACAGGAGGAAGATATAAAAATGAAGACCAGCAAATTCAAAGCCCACATGCTCCATAATGCCCTATTTCAAACAAAGATGGAAAACTTAAAACAGAAAAAACTCAATATGTGTAAACACCCTTTTTCATTTGTAGCTGTAACTCATCAGGTTTTATTTACAGGAACCATAAGCAAAAAATAAAGCAAAAAAAAAAAATAGTGTATTTTAAATATAGTTTCTACCCAGACATGGAATTTGTAAAACAGAACTAAATGTAGCATTTAAAAACATGAAACATACTCCAAACTGACTTCAGTATGAAGAAGCAAAAGCGTAGCTCAGTCCTTCAGATTGTGACTTTAGAAAACAGCAATTTGTAGCCTTTGTTTTAATTAGCAATTAGGTTATAGTTCTAGATGTGTATACAAGTGAGAAGTTCAGCTCCTAAACTGCCTTTTGCCTCATCACATCCAAAACATCAATAGGTCATATTAATATCATCTCCCATCTGCCCAATCCATCCTACCTTTTCTAAGTCATCAAGCATCGGTTATTAAATCACTACATATGCCTTTTAATTCAGCCACACTCCTTCCTTAAAAAGGTTGATTTTAGTATAATCCAAAGTTTCTAAGGATGCCTCAAATGATCTGGCTGCTACTTTTCACACCATCTTCATCTCCTGTCAAAATTCCCTCTAATCATGCATCTAGCCTTCCTGTATACTACCCACCAGTGTGATTTATGTATTTCCATGTAGGACCTTGCAAACATTTGTGAAAAGAAAACACTGTTAAAAGCAAACCCCTGGATATTATCATATTGTAAAATAGATATTTAAGTTTCATTTTATTTTAATTAAGCTCAAATATCTAATTCAAAACTTTTTCAATACAAGACACATACACATACCATGTCACTATGAAAAAGTTCCATCACTGCGCTTATATTTAGTGCTGAGAAAGCTCAACAAAGAGCCAGATAACAGAAAGCTGCAAGTACTCACCGAGAAAGCATAGTATGAAGACACAGCGAAAACAACATTAAACAGGAAATCTAATCATCCGAGTTTCAGTTTCCTCTACTAATACATGCTTTTAGTCATCCAGGTAAACTGGTAGCTTAAATTTCATTACTTAAAAAAATTACCAGGTTCAGGTAAGAAAAAAAATTACCCCCTCCAAAAACCAATAGTTTCTAAAGTTCTATGAAAATTCCACATAATTATGAAACAAAATGATATAGAATTTGTTGTGAGGAAGGGGAAAAAAAGATTTGCCAATTTGCAAGTAGTGAACTTGACACACATAAAACATTTGGAAATTTGAAAAACCATTTTATTTTAATTAATGTATATGTATGTGCACACATGTTTGTGGGTGCCTGCACCGGCCATAAGAGGGCTCCTGATCACCTGGAGCTGGAGTTATAGGTGGCTATGAACTGTCAGATGTGACTCCTGGGAACTGAACTCTTGTCCCTCTACAAGGGCAGCAAGCACTCTTAACTGCTCTCTCCAGTCTGGACACTTGGAACTTTTGCCTCATTAACACAAAGTAACGTCTGGAGGCATCACCATCTCTGATTTCAAGCTCTATTATAGAGCTATAGTCCTGAAAACATGGTATTGGCACAAAAATACTCAGGTAGAACAATGGAATCGAATTGAACATACCGAAATTAACCCACACAGGTATGAACATCTGATCTTCGACAAAGAAGCTAAAAATACAATGTAAAAAAAGGAAGCATCTTCAACAAATGGTGCTGGCATAACTGGATGCTGGCATATAGAAGAATGCGGATTGATCCATGTTTATCGCCATGCACAAAACTTAAGTCCAAATGGGTCAAAGACCTCAACATAAATCCAGCCACACTGAACCTCTTAGAAGAGAAAGTGGGAGGTACCCTTGAATGAATTGGTACAAGAGACCACTTCCTGAACATAACTCCAATAGGACAAACATTGAGGGCAACAATTAATAAATGGGACCTCCTGAAACTGAGAAGCTTCTGTAAGGCAAAGGACACAGTCAACAAGACAAAAAGGCAGCCGACAGAATGGGAAAAAATACTCACTAACCCCACATCTGACAGAGGGCTCATCTCTAAATTTACAAAGAACTCAAGAAGCAAGTCTCCAAAACACCAAAGGATCCAATTAAAAAGTGGGCTACAGAACTAAATAGAGAATTCTCAATAGGAGTCTAAAATGGCTGAGAGGCACTTAAGAAAGTGCTCAATGTCCCTAGCTATCAGGGAAATGCAAATCTAAACAACTCTGGGATACCATCTTAATCCTGTCAGAATAGCTAAAATCAAAAACACCAATGGCAGTTTATGCTGGAGGGGATTGGAGAAAGGGGAACACTCCTCCACTGCTGGTGGGAGTGCCAATTCATACAACTGCTTTGGAAATCAGTATGGAGACTCCTCAGGAAAATAGGAATCAGCCTACCACAAGACCCAGCAATTCCACACTTAGGCATACACCCAAAAGATGCACATTTATACAACAAAGGCATCTGTTCCACTACATTCAATAACAGCATTATTTGTGATAGCCAGAACCTGGAAACAACCTAGATGCCCCTCAACTGAAGAGTGGATAGAGAAAATGTGGTACATTTACACAATGGAGT